AGAGAGAGAGAGGAATAGAGAGAGGGGGTGGAGCTGTCTGAGCCTGCAGGCTGATATTCAGCTTCTCTGTGAACACATGCTGCGTTTTTCTTTACTGATGTCTTCCTGCTAGACCTCTGCTGACTCTACCTGACCTCTGCTGACTCTACTGTGGACTCTTGGGGTTTTTGGGAGCTTCGCGGTGTCACTGTGGCTGTTTGAGTTTGGATTACTCTCCGTTGGAGCAGAGAGGAGCAGGGTGGGAGTCGTACAGTCACACAGGGTAAGTTCCTCCTGTTCATCCTCCTGCTGCTGCTTCATCTGCAGGTTGATTTGTTATTTGTTAACTCTGTGTTAAACTTTGATTAGTCTCAACTTTATGTCAGTGTGTGCAGGATGTCTGCAGGTCCTGGAAAAGTCTTTAAAAAGTAAAAAGAAATCATCCTTTAATGTTTATTGCAGCATTTAGTGTGTGAAATGTGAGAAATGTGCTGCTTTTATGTTCAGCTTACTGTCTGTGTGGTTTGGCTCTGTGCAGTGAACGGAAACAGTTGAATTGGGTTGTGTTCAGGGACCTGGAGACTCCTTTGAACATAATTCACGGGTCCTGGAATTCCTGGAATGTTAGCAGATGTTGAAGAGGTGTTTCTGTGCAGGTAAATGTTGTGAAGAGGTTCAGAGAACATGGCTGAGTGTTTGAGATCAGCTCACAGAGACACATCAGGGTTTACAGCTGATTCTGTTGACAGACTGAGGAGGAGGAGGAGGAGGAGGAGGAAGGGTTGAATGTCTGATACATGTGTGAGTGAACTTTATCCAGTTGTTCTGTGGTAGAAATGTTCAGATACAGTCGGTGTGTGCACAGTGTGAGGCCTGCAGGGGGACACACTGGATCCACAGTCTGAGGTCAGAGCCAAGATGGAGGCAGGTTCCTCTGCCCCCCCCCCACAGCCCCCCACAAGTATCTTTTCTTTCAGTAAAACCAGCGACGGCTCACTTCAGTGATGTTTCAGCAGGTGAACGTTAATGATAGTCGGTTCTATAAAATACAACAATGAAAATCTAATTTCACTAAAAACAAAAATGTAAAAATTTAATGTTTGTGTTTTAAAAAGAAAATCAGAAATCTTTTTTTCTTTTGAATAATTGTTTGTGAAGTGAAAAAGAGGAGCTGTTTGTGAACTGATCTGATTTTTATATATTGTTTAGTTGATCCAACGATAGAGAGCTGGGACTTTACGGCCCTGCTAACTACTGAACATCCTCACTGTTACTGAGCTGTTTGAACAATGTGAGCAGCCATTAGCCAGAGGCTGCATATCTGCTGCAGGTGGCTGCCTGCCCGTCTGTCTGTCTGTCCGCCCGTCTGTCTGTCTGTCTGTCTGTCTGTCTGTCTGTGTGTGTGTGTGGACCAGGTGTAACTGTCCTGTAGTCAATATCAGTTGATCAGAGCACGTATGAAAATGTCTCTGAGGTCAAACAGAAATAACCCTTCTATCACTGCTTTCCAACCTTTTTCCTTAAGGAGCCGTTATTGATCATTAAACAGTTAATGATTATATTCACACACACACACACACACACACACACACAGCTGATGAACTGCACAATGAACACAAACAGTGAACTCAGTAACTGCAGTTTGATTATTTCCTGTGAATAACTTATGACCTATATCCAATCCTCTCTCTGTGATACTGGCTCATTGCTCTAATACAGCTTGTGTTCAGCTCATCAGAGTTTAGATATTCAATGATTAACTGTAATGTTATAACTTTAAAACATTTAATGTAAAATCTAAACTTTAATATATAACAGTTCCATTTAGTTTTCTTCCCAGAAATGAATGAAACACTGAGATATAGTCCTACTGTGTATAGATTTTAACTTTCCTAGCACACCTTAAAATCAAGAAGGTCTCACGACCCCCCATGAAGCTTTGGTGACCACTAGTGGGGGTCCCGACCCTCAGGTTGGGAACCACTGATTTATACCTGTCACCCATATTTCTCTCACACTGAAGGCATAAAATGAAAACTGTGTTTAGAATCTGGCAACATTTTAATTTAAATAATGAATTGAACATGTTGATTGTAGTTAATATTATAATAACATTAATAACAGCTGATGAGCTGGTTCAGGTCTCTGACACTGACCCTCACCCTCCACCGTACCTGACGGCAGCTGTTAGCAGGGTGATAGCTCGCTGTTGGTTTCACACTCATCTCTAAAAGACTTACCCCTAACCCCTAACCCTAACCCATTTATTGATTGTGTTGGAAGAAATATAAAATATAAGACAGAATATAGAATATATCTAATAAAAGACAGTATTGATGTTTGTGTTGATAGCAGTGCTGTAAACACACACTGAGAGCTGTGATCACTTCCTCCAGGAAGTTACAATCACAACATTAATTCAACCAATCACAGTGAATTTAACTCTTCTGCTGATTGGACCAATAATTGTAGTTTCCTGTGAGTTTGACTGATAGAGCTCAAACTGCTCAGTTTTATTGTCACTGCAACAAACTGCCTTCCATGTTTAATAAATTATACACTTCACTTTATCTCTCAATCTCTAAGTGTGATGTTACAGCGACTGTGATCAATACAAGTGCAGGTCTCAGGTTGTACTGGTAAATATTGAACCGTAACCTCTGTATGGTGATACGTATCTTCAGACTAATGCCAATATAATAATAATAATCACAGGAAGCTGCCTTCAGCCTACAGAGGTACAATGTGTTATAACAGCATTAGAATGAAGTTATTTAAGATGTTTGTTTGTTACAGACCAACAAGTTTCACATCATCATGATTTTAATTGTTTTTAACTCCAGATTATTATCCTATTACCATTGAGTCAGATATGTTCCAGAGTGTGTGTGTTCAACCTAAACAGATTCAGGTTGCTGAGACAGAGAACACTGTTCTTGATCAGTGACTTTAATGGTTAATCAATGATCAGAACAGCAGTGGGCTGTGTAATGAGACTAATCAATAAAATCTGTCTGTTCCTCCTCAGACTCATTCAACATCAGTTGAACTGTATCTACAGGCTCAGTAATAACGCCACTCATTAACAGACAGACTCTGGTGTGTCCTGGTGGTACCTGAACGCCTCACACTAACAGGATATTAACTCCAGCCGCTTCCTCTCTTTCATTTCCTCCTCACAAGCCTCAGAGCGTCTACCCACAATGCACTGTGTGTCCCCTGTGTGGTTGTGTAGCAGAAGTTCAGTGTTTAATGGAACCATTCAGAGAGCAGCGTTCTGAATGTGGTTCATATTAACTCCTCGCCGTCTCTCAGGTCGGACTCATACAGCTTCTCTTAACTAACGATCAACAGACGTCTGCGGCTTAATCCCAGTAAACAGAACGTTACAGAGAGCTAACGTTAC